CTCTAGTCAGGGCAACAGAGCCAGACTCTGTCTCAAAAAAAAAAAAAAAAAACCACTGTCTTTTGTAACCTAATCTCTGAGGTGACATTCCATAATTTTTGCCAGCCCACATTCAGAGGGAGTAGATTACACAAGGGCATGAATACAAGACAGCAGGAATCATTGGGCGTAATCTTAGAGGCAATATATACAAATGCACAGGAAAAATCTGTATAATGACTGGTTATCTCTGGATATGTTAAAAATTATCTGTCTGGATTTTTTTTTGCATTACTGGTCATCTTAAATGAATAATTACTACTACTACTGCAACTTTTATCCTCATATAAACCCTTTGCTGCTGACCTACCTAGCCGACGGCCACTCACATGATACTGTTTAATTTCTCAATCTTTTCTGTGAGCAAGTGGAAACACACCTGCCTACACTTTAGATAGAGTTAATTATCTTCCATAATTGGTTTTTCTTCAATATTTGACCCAAGATGAAGCTCTGGCTAGGTTTCCAAGACATATATAAAAATAATCAGGATTAAAAGTTGCTCCGCTAATTTTCACATTCTCTGACAAAGATCTCCACTGTGTTGGGTGAGGAAATTATTCTAAAACCTTATGCCTTGTGCATTGACTGCCCATCAGGTCTGCAAATCTGTCGCATTGAAATATGACACAGAAGTGCCCTTGCTGTAATTGTTCCCCTCTATTGAAGTGGCAATGGATAATTATAGGTCACCCTTGTGACACTTACCTGACACAGATGATGACAGCAAATGATTTTTCTCAGCCTCTGACTTTTGTTATCTTCAAGGGCAACTAGAGATGTTTTTTCTTTGCAGTACTAGAAATAATGAGAAAACATAAATGGGGTTTATAAATCTCCTATTAATCATTTAAACAAATTTAAAGAAAAATAGCCACCATTAAATCATAGTCTTCCAGCTAGACCAGAAGGACAGCTTTTATTATTCTCCGAATTAATTAATTCCATCAGCAAGTGCTAAGTGCCAATTGTATGTTCACGTCAGCCTTTTTCTTTATAAACATCTTACCCTCCCAACTTGCTTTTTTTATCATGTTCCACCGTCCTTCTAGTCTGCTAGGTTAAGAAGTCTGGCTCTTGTCCAGCTTCTTATTTATCCCAGATGCCCAAACCATCACCTAACCCTTCAGGGACACTACTCCTCTCCTATCCTTTTGCTCTGCAAAACACCTTGGTAGGCTTTCAAAAATAATAACTTAATGGCTAAAACAGTCATAGAAAACTTCTCTGACTTGATATCCCCATTCTCAGTTCACCTGGACACCTCTGCATGAGTAGGAGAAATTGCAACCATTGATGCCAGGCCTCGTGTAGGGGACTGACCTTCAGACCCTATTTACTTTCTCTTTACTGCCATCCTGTGACTTAAGTGTCATAATGGAGCCTGGACTCCTAGTTTCTGAAAGGAAAACAATAAAACCCAAAAGGAAGTCATTGCCACTTTGGAAGACAGTTTGGCAATTTCTTAACAAAACTAGATATAGTACAATTCAGCAATTGTGATCCTTGATATTTACCCAAATGAGCCAAGAATTTATATCCACACAAAAACCTGCATATAGATGTTTATAGTACAGCTTTTATCATTAATAGCCAAAACTTGGACGGAACCAGTATATCCTTCGGAAGGTGAACAGATAAATCAATTGCAGTACATCAGACAATGGAAAAGCACTCAGTGCTGAAATGAGCTATCAAGCCATAAAAAGACACGGAGGAAATTTAAATGCATACTATCAAGTAAAAAAAGCCAAATCTGAAAGGCCACATATCATATGTTTCCAACTGTATGACATTCTGGAAAAGACAAAACTATGGAGGCAGTAAAAATATCAGTGATTACCCGGTGTCAGGAAGAGGGAGGAATGAATAGGCAGGACACCAAGGACATTTAGGGCAATGAGACTATTCTGTATGATGCTGTAATAGTGGACGCACATGATTATGTACAATACCAAGAGTGATTTACCTAATGTAAACTATGGATTTGGGCTGATGATGTTCCAATGTAGGTTCATTGATTGTAACAAACGCTCCCCTCTGGTAAGGAATATTGATAACGGGGGAGGCTGTGCACGTGTAGGTACAGGGAGTATACGGGAAATCTCTGTACCTTCGGCTCAATTTTGCTGTGAACTTAAAACTGCTCTAAAAAATAAAGTCTGTTATATATTTTTTTAAAAAAGGAAG